GATAGACATTCCGTGAAAAACTCATGAATGGATATAAAACAGACGTTGTGCACGGAGGAATCTGACTGATAAAAACTGTGAAACTTTAACCAGGGCAGATGTGGATAAATACGTCGGGTGAGTAAAACGAGTCTGACTTTTTTCTGCTTTATCGACTGTTGCGGGGAGAACTCCATGCAGTGACGTATGTTTCAGGGAGGGGGGTTTCCCGAACTCGGCGCTGGGGTGTCGTAGGGACTATGAAAGGTCTGTGCGAAAACAACTGCCAAACAACCACGTGACGGCACGTCGACCCGTTGGCATCGGAGCGAGTATGTTTCAGGCTTTAGAAAGGCAGGTTTAGAAGACAATAGGCTGTGAACCACAGGATTAGAGAATATAATGATCAGAGAAAATGATTTTACAATTTTTGGGTGAGCTGCGAGGAAATATTTCCCAAAAGTTAACAACTGRGCTGCGTTAATAAACTAACAAAATGTGAAAAAAAGCCTACTTTTATTGAAAGAAAATAATGMTTTTTTTTCATTCTAACAATAAATAATTTTGTGCTGTAAAGAAATATTTGGAATGAGTTTAACTAAAAAAATGTTAAATGAACTTTAAAATAAAGGCAACTTTGCTGCCTTTTCAGTGCTCTCTTTGATGTGATTTAAAAAAGGTCTAAAAAGGCATTAATAATACATTAGGAGTAAATGGATTTGAACTGTCCTTGCCCTTGGCAATGGTGGCCCAGTTCCAAAAGAACACTACCCGCTTTTATTTTCACGCTGTCTTTTATCCCCCCCAAAATTAGATTTTCCAATTTAACTTTTAATGCAACGATGCAGTAAATAAAAAAAGTTACTTTGAAGAACACCACCAGCTTTGCTATATTCACTGCAGTKAAGTATATTAAAATGAGAATTATTTTTTTTGGTAAATTTATGAATGCGTCATTTCAATATTTGCAAACTTTATTGTCAAATGTCAGCCAAGAAACTTTCTTGGTAATGACACTGAGATACTAAATTAAAARAGTGAGAAAGAAGCAAAAGAAAAATTGGACAGAGTAAGAAGAAGAAAAAAAAACTGTTTAAAGCGGTGTATAACCCGAAATAGTACAATAAACAAATAAGTGAAGCAGCCAAGACTTTTAAAAATTGTTCTATTGTCTGCTCCACAGCCTTGAGTTTCTAAGACAGCTTTAATGCATCCACTGTTCTTYTAGATCTTATGAGACGGTGAAAATAGATTTAGCCAATAAACACACATCTGTGAGTGGTGGTGCTATGCTCTATCTGGGTCTCATGTTCCTTCAACTGGGCAGGAAAAAATAAAAGCTCGCAACCAGTGTGTGCAGTAAATGATGCCTTAACTGTAGATYAAATGAAGTAAATGTACTGATTATCTGTTCACTGTCCTTCATGCTTCAAATTTACCATCTTGCTTCCTGAATACAGGTAATGCTTACTGACTGGAGAAGTGATCTACGCTAAATAAGTTAGAACTCTGCTCTTCATTAATATGCAGCTCTATTGCTGTTGTTTGTATTATATTTACTCTGAGCTGCAGAAAGACAATATAAACTTTGAGACCTCACAATCCCTGCATGTAGAAAAGCAAATAACAGCGTGAGCTAGATTAAAAAAAGAAAACGTGGAAAAGATAAATCCTTCCATCCCAACCAACACCTACTCAGACAGCTACTCAGATCTTTCCCTTCAGGAAGTCTTTCAGGACGTCAATACCATGCAATTTAACCTCTTCCAGCTGCTCTTTCCATCTCTGCGTCTGTCTTGCACGCACACACTTAGACATAACCTTCCTCACTAGAAGTAGTCACTCTGATGGCTGCCTGTCATGCATAATAATAAACACTGACATTTGAGAGTGCAGAAAGGACATGCCGACAAATCCACATAATGGTCTTCAACACGACGCCGTGAGTGAGGAGGTAAGTGTCTTTTACCGGGCTCACTGGCCCCCTACAGCGSAACAGCGGAAGACAAAACATGCAGGAAGTCCCCGCAGCACCACAGATTTGTCAATATGATAACAGACTTAGGCGAGGCGCCAGCTGACTAACAAGTGCCATCTCTCACAGGTCAGAAAGTTTAACCTTATACAATASGCTGCTGTGCTTGGGTCAGCCTTTGCAAGTATTTGTGTGTGCTATTTTTTCCTACTACAGGTTTTGACAGAAGCATAAATGCAGAGATGGTTGAGAAAGCAGCTGATGCTGCTTTTAATGATAATTTGCRGAGATGAGAGCTGTAGGTTTCTTTTCTTGCCTTTAACTGTTCCGCCCTTCGACGCACAACCCCTAACTCTACATGGTCAGGTTTCATTTTCAGTGGCAGATCATGCCTCTACTCTGGCATCAGTAATGGAAAATACAGAAACTGTTTTCAAGCTTGACTTGTCATGAAAATTTAGTTTAGTTGAGTTTTTTTTTTCTTTGCATCAAAAAAAGAAAAAAAGTGACTGTGTATGAAATGCACTAGTTGTCCTGTTCCTTTAGCAACCGGGAGGCAATTCAGAAAAAATGCATCAAAAGCACATTGAGATCATCACAAAATCCCCATGAACTAAAATGTTACAACCTTGACATGATGATGGGAAGAGCTTGAGTTAAAGAAGGTAAACTTATGTCAACTCCACATTTCTTAGTGTCTACAGTGGGATGTGTTTTTGCACAAAGTWTCAACACTAAGATATACCAGGCTTCTGTATTCAGTAGAGCTTGGGTTTTGCTAGAATGAGTACAGACGGGTCAATGAATCATTCTAAAAGACTTTGAAAAGAGGTAAAACCGTCAGCATTGCAACTTAACACGCATGTTGAATTGTGATGATGTTGTTTACGCCATATCTGGCCTCTAAGATGAACACGTTCGGTTAGGGTTCCAAGTTCAACAAGAGTTTAAAAGCAGCTCGAGGATATTCAGTATTCAACACTTCACACGACAACGCTTGAATCACAGTCACTTTGCAAATGCAAACTCTGAAGACAAAATGTGTCGGCACAAAAGAAATTACATCAGCAAAGTCTAAGGACGCTCACTTTACACCTGTTTACTATGACATCATATCCGAGGTGAAACTTGACTCTGGGTTAAGGCTTTTTTTGTTACGTGCGGTTCGCCCCATTTTGCCGAGTCAATTTGATCTCTCATTGGAACGTGATCTTTCACACCGTTATCCATTTTTACCTGCAAATCTTTTGGGTTTTGTCTACAGAAGCCTAAACTATCCAGCCACTGAGACTTTTGCCCATTCCTCAAAGTAAAAATTGATTTAGCTCCTTCAAGTTGGTTGGGTTCTGGTGGTGTACAGGTGTAAAAATCKTATTCAGATTCTCGGGAGGCTTGAGATCTGTGCTTTGACCTAACCTTTCTGAGGATTTTCTTTCATAAATCCATAGAGTATTGCTTTAGGRGAACTTTCGTTCCTGCCTCACTACTGTGGAAAACTCGGACAAGATTTCCTGAAGCCAGTGCCTGTCTTCATTCAATATGGATGAATTTCCTACAGCATGTTGCTGTGTTGCCACCATGCTTCATTAAGAAGGTAATCTCAGGGTGATAAACCCTTTTTAAGTTTGCACAATACTCAAAGTGGTTGTTAATGAACAAAAGGTTTCGTCTCATGTAATCAATGTGCCTCACTGCAAATACTTTGGGAGTCTTTTTTTGTGTCTCTTCTGAAAAGAGAGAGACATTCATAGATGTATGCATCATCAAGCTCCACACTGCTTTACGTGATCACATGAACACATACCTCGGTCTACTGCAAATATTTGCTGCTAATTAAATATTACCTTTTGCCTCTTRGTTACATCTCTGATTAAACTGCTTCATGGTTAGTCTGTGAGTTGTGTGGTATGCTCTTTATTAGTTGTCGATTGTGGTGCACCTTTAGTCTATTTTCTAAAATTCGATTTAATAATTTTAAGAGGGATAGTCCGAGTTTTTCAATATTTTGTGTAGCCCAGTGCTAATCTCTACTTGGAGATATAAAGCTTATTWCAAGGACCTTAGAATAAAGCAACTACAGAGGCACTTTAAATTAACGCCATTTGCCTCTTGCAAATACTATAACRACAGTCTATTATTGCCACTTTTGTTCAGCTATGTTTGAAATGCAAAGTGAATCTGACATCTGTGTACTTCAGACAGAGGCATATTTGGAAAGGAAATGATAAGCAAACCCACTGGCAAAATCACAWAATGAAAAGCAAAGTGACTTGTACATGATGGGATGACATTTTTTTTGCAAGGATTCTCAAATCCTTTAATTTAATAAAAGCTGGTGGGAAATCATTGACAAATACCAACCTCTCAAATCCCATCTTTTCTATTTTATCCCTCCTCTGTTAAATAATTCTTACTGCTTAGTGTGTTAGCATTCAACTCAGAGTTCTGTWTAAAGACGCTTGCACTGACCTCAGGGTTGGTCCACTTGGTTTTGATCCGTTCAGCCATCTGCTGTGTATAGCCAAGGAGGTCACAACCCTGCCTGCTCTGCAGATAAAGCACACCAACAAGCAGTAAATACAACAGAGCATGTCACAACAGAAAGCACAGAAGGGCCACAGAGACTCTTTCTGTACAACTCATGCAASTAGCTGGATGTTAGTGACATTCATTTAATTATTTCAAACCTAATATAATAGCTTAAAAATGATGCAAAACCAAATTGGGAGTAATATGTTTMGATAAAATATACAAGCATAGAAAGTGTTACATTACTTCTGAGCATGTGCGTTTAGGAAATGTGGACAGAATGAAGAAAAGGAAAATGTTTTGCTGCTAATTTACATAGAAAGTTGAAAATGCAACCTTGATGGAACTAAATTATGCAACTTGTTCTCCGGTCCACACAAAGGATTTTTCATCTGAATAGCGTTACTAAAAACAGGACAAAACCCAGCGTATATACAGAGTACATATATAAAGAGGCCTTGGGCTGTATGTGTGACCGTCTTTTCCTCTTGTTAATCCATGTGTGTGTCTGTGGTGTAAGAATACACAAGTGAAGTGAGCTGCTCTACTTTTGTTTTCCAGATGTACAACCACAGTGCAGAGGGCAAAGCATGTGGATTTATGAGCAGAAAATAAATTCTTTATTTAACAGCTTTCCAATTATTTAGAATTTATTAATTTGTTTTAGGCTTTACACATACTTAAAATGTACCACACCCATGTTTAAGTGTTTCATTGTACTCAATCAGTATATTAAATGCACTGACCTAAAATAATCAGTATTTATTTTTTTCTGCACATCAGACATAAAGTGTTTTAACTTAGGTGCACCTTACTTTAGCCATGKAGACTAATGAACTTATTATATTAATGATAATTAATATAATGATAATTAGGTCTGTGGGATAGTCTGCATACTCTTGTCTTTAACTCAAAGGACACAGAAACGGCTAAATTTACTTTGTAAAAACAAAAGCATTTTCTWTTTGGGTTCTCAAAGATCAAGTAGTTTTACAACATGACTTTGTAACCTCTCCTTGATGATGTCTTTCACAAGTACTTCAGAGTCTGTGAATAGTGTTTTGTATAAGAATTGTCTCTTTTTAACTGCAGTTCTTTCTTATAGCCAATAGATCACAGTCTTTCAGAACCCTCTTAAGTCTTAATCCTTTGAGAAGAGATTCTTTTGATTGCCTATTCCTTAGTATTATACATATTATTGTTAAAAAAAGAAATGTTATGTTGTGAAATATTTTATTCTTGTTTGTGAACCTTTCCCTGACCTAGTTTATCCAAAAATAAATAAATAAATAAATAAATAAATAAATAAATAAATAAAAATCCAAAGATGGAAAACACATTTTCAATTAAACTTGACAACCACTCAGGGCTTTCAAATCACAAGCCCCCTCATTATCCCTTCTTGTTGACACAAGCCTCCTCAGTTGTTTGCTTTGTGTCCTCTAATCAGAGTCTGGTATTGATCGAAAGTTACAGTAACACTGCACCTGCCAGTCAAACGGTGGGAACGCGAACCTCATTGCCTTCTCTGACAAACTGGGGCGACGAGGGAGGCTGTGGGAATGAGACTGCATTTGGCCGAATGCTGAGGTAATTACAAACTTGGAGAAAGAGGTTCAAACAGTGCTCGCCCAAGTGTGTATGCCCAAGGCTGACACAATGGAGGGGAGTCTTTTGTGCGTGATTCGCCAATGTCACTGACGGAGAATGGAAACAATGGAAAAAATATATATCAGGAAGGAGTAAAGKGTGGGTTAGAGGGAATTAGACGCAGAGAGCACTTTGAGTGCAAAGACGGTCTGATAAAGAGGGAGGGGGGAAAAAAAGCTTTGAGTGAATGGCTGAAGATTGAATTTCGTCTTCACAGGCAACTTTGCTGCCTGCGAGCGAAACAAAAGGATGAAAAGATTACTTGCTGCTGTTTTCTTGCTGAAATTTGGACAACACCAGATCTTCTCAATGGCAGCTCCCTTCCCTGACTTCCTCTTATTTGCCGTAAGTCTCTTCCTGTTGCCATCTGATATGAGCATTCAAAACAATTACAGGAGTGCCAAAGGGCTGACATGAGCCTAGTCAGCAAATAAATGCCAGAGACTACCTTTCATAGAAAATATAGACAGCTGAGTTAGACGTTAGATGGGAGGAAAAAGGCAACAAAGTAGAATAGATAAATCTTTTTTTGAAATGAAACTCTAAAGACATTTAAGCTGCTTAATAATTTGGCTGACATTGCAGATGTGCACGTGTACACGCCTGTTCTGTCTGTTTATCTCCTATCTTGAGGGCCATGCAACTCTCGTCACAGCAAAAGCAGATTATGAGATTAAAGTGGTGTGCTTCTGGGAAATAATAAAAAAAAAGATATATGAATGAATATTGCAATAACAATGACTCTTGTAGAAAGTTTTCTGCAATAAATATGCAGTGCATGCATGGGTACGCAGACGCTGTATAAATGAATTGTGTTCATGTAGTCTCAGATATTTTGTGACAAGGACAGAGGAGGATGGCTTGTTTTCCATTTGTACAGGTTTTACTGAGAGCAAGGAAATGAATCGTTAAATCGGTAGGATTGATAATCGACTCGGGACGGGAAGTGATCTGCAGACAATCACAAGGACGTTGTCTCTGATGCTTTTTGTCTCTTGTGCGTGCAAAGTTGCAGACAATTGCTTCACGAGTGCATCGCGTAATCCTGTGAGATCAAATTGTTTTCACATAAAGCATGTGTTGTAAAGGACTGCAAGACCAGAGCTTTTTCTTGCTTCCTACGCTTCTGCTGCTACTTCTCCAATCACCGGTTGGTTCTGTGTGTTTAGAAACAGGATCTCACAGTCTAAATTGAAAGGGGGACTGCTTTGCAATGCACAACACATGGCAGCAGATGCGTAGCAATAGACAAGTGGAGGGCAGGGCGAAAGAAAAACAGGGCCAAGGGAGAGGCTGAACGGAAGACACGAAGAGAGAATGGGGAACAGCGGGAAGAGGGAAGTGACAAAAGAATAAAGCGAGACAGGGGATGGTTATTGGACGACAGCGGTGCAGGAGGAGAAGAAACATGTGAGCAGGAAGAGAAATGGAGAGGAGTTTAGAGGCTCTCAAACATTTTTTGCACTCCCTGCACAGCAGATGCCACATTCTGTCTGGCACAGTGATCTGTGGGCCTGCGCTATTTATACTCTTGCCGTGTCACTTCAGGGCTAACACAACACACAGTGCACACACACACACACACACACACACAAAGTGTCAGAGTTCTGTAGCTCCCCTGCATGACTGAAATGAAGCAAGTTAGAGAGCATCTATCTGCATAAGGTACAGATGGAAAACAATGTGATAGCACAGAGACTAAATTCCCTCACACCTATACACGCCTTCTATATAAGCAAAATATTCAGATTTTGTTTAAAAATCTGCTCTAGTCTGCAGGCTAAATCATGAAAAAAGGGAATAAAGATCTTACTGTAGTCTGAAAAAGACATGGGAGAATGCTAACCTTTTGAATCGGCCTGATTACGTGGATTGAGAGCCAAAAGTTACATCAGCTTTCAGCCTCTCATGGAGCTGGAAAATCTTTAGAGGAAAAAAAGCGAGGGACTTGACAGAGAAGAGCGAAGAGACAAACAGAYAAACTATTATGAGGGACAATTTGGACCTTAAATGCTGTAGCAATCCTTCTATCTAAATGTGGCATGGCTTCATTCTCATTTTGGGTGGTTATGGTCTTATGGGTGGAAGAAAAGCTAATGGAACAGCTTTAATTTAAAAAAACCTGCCCACTGTGGACAAATAATAGTGTCTTTGCTTATGATATATGTGTAAGCTCATCTGTGAAGCCATGTTGCGTTGTTAAGAGGTGGTGTTCCTGCATGGTAAATGGCCTTTGTTTGTAATCAATCAGCCCAAATGTTACAGAGGCAAAACAGGGTTCATTACACATCCGCTCAGAGAGGCTATGCAACGTCACACATCCATCAACTTCACACACTGCGGTGCCCCGRGTACTGAAAGGCTAGCTGGATGAGAACGGTGGGACAGCTCACGCGTAAATACAAACATGCTCACACCTTAGTTTGTGACCTATAAGTTATATGCAAAGTCACACAAACAAAAATAATTGGATGGAAAAAGGAGGCTTTTAAAGTGCAGGAATATTTTATGCAGGCGCCATATAAAAGCAATCTCTGAAGGGTCACCTTTGATATTATGCAAGATAGAAGGCTAAATTATGTTTGTGTGAGAGCTGACGGTTGAAAAAAAAACACTGCATTAAAGATAAAAGCACCACCTTATTTTGACCATACAGGATATTAAAGAGAAATGAAAAGCTAAGATAACTGTGTGCATATCTGTGTGAAAACCGGTGATGGAGCACTCCTGCTGTCAGAGGCTGCTGTGCACATGTGTGCACCACATACGTGTCGGTGAAAACAACAGACGCTTCCTTCTCTTTGAAGTGGACCTCGCTGCCCTTCCACCCTCGCTCTGCCCTCCCTGCAACGTCTATCAGCAAGCCATAAATCTGGGCTCTGATCCGAGTCTCATGTGTCTCTGAAGTTTAGGAATGCCAATGTGGGATTTGAGACCCGGTGAATTATGGGAACACCTGGGAGGGGTGAAGGGGACTGGGAGACAAAGAAGGGGGGTGGTGGATTCAGTCACGGGTATACCTATGAAGGGCAGCATGCTGACAGCAAACGAGGCAGGCTAATTAGTTCTGGTGGGCAACTATCTGAGGTTTGGGTAATAACCCTTTAAATTAAGCATGACGAACAAGATTGCTTTGTTTTAGTATGCACATACACATGCTGTATGCTGATTTTACTATATGAACTGTGTAGAATAAGAAACCTGAGATGGAAACTGCAGTGAACTAAAAAATGAGAGAAAGACGCAGAGGGAGGAATGTTTTTGAAAAAGGCAAAGGGTTAGAAAAACAAAACGCAGCCGGGGTCGCAAGACCTAGTAGCTCGAGTGTAGATCCTGTGCAGCAAGTTCACATTCCTCACGCTTGCATG